TTATTTATTTATTTATTTATTTATTTATTTATTTATTTAGAGAATTTGTATTCTGTCCTTTCGCATAGCCTCCTCAGCCTTCAAGAGCTTTTCTCAAATTGGTTGCTGTTTTGGCCTTGCCCCTTCTGTATTGCCTACCACTATTATTTATTTATTTATTTATTTATTTATTTATTTATTTATTTATTTATTTATTTATTTAGAGAATTTGTATTCTGTCCTTTCGCATAGCCTCCTCAGCCTTCAAGAGCTTTTCTCAAATTGGAAAAAAATGGGCCTCAGGCTGAAGGAAGTTCTTTGCCTATGCTTCACCCTATCTAGAAAGAGAAAAAGCAGGGGTGGAGGAGGGACAGCAGGCCAGCACCTGCTTCAGCTGTTCATAGCTGATGAAGAAGATGTTGCTTTTGCCTTTCTGTTTCATCCAGCCTGAGATGTGGTCAAACCAGGATCCAAAGTACACTGCAGAAAGGAATGAAGATGATCTATTATTATTGTTGCTGTTGTTGTTGTTGTTGTTATTATTACACAAATAACATATCACAGTTAGGTTTACAGGGTATGAGCACAATCCTATAGTTACCTGGGGATACAGTGCAGTTTCTGACTGTATAGGTTCAAATTACAAAACAGAACAGCTTGCTTCAACAAAGAACCTTCATCCTGTTAAAGTGTAAACTTTAGCTTTCAATTAACAAGGTAAATAATCCTGCAAATTACAGTTACCTGGTAGAGCAGAACTTCTTTCACAGCCTGAGAGCCATTTCAGAGAAGCTCTGAGGGGTGCATTCAAATGAAGGGTGGGACCAAAACCCCCTAAAATACCAGTGTATTTTAGCTCAAGTTCCTACTGCCAAAAGCTAAACCTTGGGAAGAGGCATTTTGACATTTTAGTAAGGCAGAGAGCACCACAAGAGCCAGGAAAACACCAATTGTCTGGGGGAAATGTGGTCAGGCCAGGGAAATGGTGTGTGATGTTTGGGACACCCTCCAAGAGCCAAATTTCATCCCTGGGGTTAAGGTTCTGCACCCGTTTAAAGGATTAGCATGAAGCATGTACCCCAACAAAGGCAGGGAATGGTATATTTAGCTTCTTGCTAGATTATTTTCCTCATTCAGTGATTTCTTTGCTGGTTTGCCACAAATGAGAATTAACTCGATAATTCATTATCGCCTCATTCCCTTGCCAGAGCAAGGAACGTCTGGCAATTATCCTGCCAGCATCGCTTCTGCTCTGAACCATGCCTCAGAGCTGTGTTCCTCTGAGTTTCCCATCTGCTATACCTCTGGTCATCTCTCTGAGTCAAGAAAATGGATAGACGGAGCAACTCGGACCGTGCCTTGTTCCAGTGTTGCCCACCTTGCTGGCCTTGTGCCTGACCCCCATAGAACCAAAGATCCAAAGAGAAGCACCTACCTATGGACAGAGATATGAGGGGAGGTGCACCATACAAAAGAGAACCCATCCTTACTCCGCACATAGAGGCATCCCGAGGAAGGGACTACTGTGTTATCAGGCCCATAAAGGGAGAAATCTGTCAGGTCTACTTTTTCCCAGCTTTCTAAGAGGAAAACATTCCTCTGACAACATTTCCCTTCTTTGAAACCCTGCAAGATACAGAAGGCTTCTAAGGATTTGGAGGTGGCAGTATGATTTGCAGGCTAGTATTTGGTGAGGAGGCATATCCAATCTTCACTATATACTTGGACAAGTCAGTGCTGAGCAACCCTTTTTTGCTTTTCCCCTCCAGTCTGCCTGTTGCTGCATAGAACTAGGCTTCAAATGCAGCCTGTCCTCCAATTGTCCAGGAGAAGGAACCTGGGCCTGGACTAAGCAACCAAAGACAGATGATGTGCCTTAGTGGAATTTGTCCCGATTCCTATCTAATCCAGTGCTCCGATTCTCCAACCTGATGCCGCTGGGCAATTCACAGGAAAGGCCTGATGGGGTTAGCCATCTCTGCCTTTAACTGCCAGCAAAAGCTCAGGCTGTGTCTTTTCTCCATAAGTAGCTCTGCCCTTGCATCTTGTGCCAATGAGCTGCCAGGGATGGCTGTTAGATTTTCATTCAGGATACATACATGCTCTAACATCCTCCCCCTTTCCATTCTCCAACTCACCGTTCCCATTCAGAAAACTCTTCAGGAAGTGGTCGAAGGATCTGGGATCCTCAAATGGGGGACACATCTTGGAGAAATGATAGTAGGAAACTACAACATCCCGGGGATCCCTCAAGGTGTAAATCACCTGAGGAACAAATTTGTGTTACCTAGCAGAAGATATTGTGAGTGGAGAAACATCATCCTTTGGAATCAGCAGTGTGTACAAAGAATCATCCCTCCAAATGTCATAAAATTTGGAAACTTGCATGTTCTAAAATGAATGAATACCTGACATGAACATAAAGTTTGGCACTCATATTTATGGATGTTAAAAAGAGAAAACAGCACACAATTTAGTGATATGACACTACCTTTAATGCTGGAGTCTCCAGTGTGGCATCCATGAACACCAATTTGTCTGCAGACATCTCTCTTAGCATCCATGAGGCTCCCTGCCTTTATTGTTGTTTATTTTATTTCTAAAGACTTTTTTTTAAGTAACAGGAAGCTGGCATGCTACAAAGTACCCTGACACCTTCATTTAGGTTCAGAACAGTGGTTCTGTGTTTTGGAGCTCTGAGTCCCATGTCTGCCTTGTTCTTTGATGCTTGGGGGATTTAATTTTTAGTTTCATCAGTCTGCCACCTGGGCCATACCAAACACGGCAGCCATTTTATGAATGGGCAAGCCCTTCCCCATGACAGCCATTGTGTGAAAGCGCCCACAGCCAATAAACATATAAAGTAGATGGCATGACTGAATTGAGCTGCCTGTTGTTTCAGGTCATATTTAAACCATCCTGAGACACCAGTAGATGGATGGTCTATAAAAGCCATAAATTAAATAAAATTTGTGAGATTTGGAACTTCACATGTCCACAGGCTTCACATGTCCTTGCAATTAAACCAGGTACTGGCTCTCAACCTTATAAAAGTCTGGCCCAGAGTTTAAGTCTTAATGATAAAGGCATAACCCAGCTATGATTGCCTCTAAATCATTGGTAAAGAAGGGCAGGACTATGGATGGGTGTCATGCTAAATGGGCTAGTACAGCTTTCCCCAGCATGATTTTTTCCAGATGTATTGGACTACAACTCCCATTATCCCACCTGCCAAGGTAATTGGTGGTGTAGTCCAACACATTTGGGGAATAGCAGGTTGGTGAAGTCTGAACTAGTCAAAGAGGAAAGAGTGGAGCAACTAAGACAAGAAGTACCAAGAAAATATGTCTTCTCCTACATTTCTGGATCAAATTATCAAGTGTTATGCAACCTTGTAAAAGAGCAGGCTGGAGTCCTTCCCGTCATGCATGTGTAACCTCCGTGATAGCTCCCCATATCCCATGGTGTGATCCCCATGCATTACGTATCTTACCACCCACCTTAGCTTTGGAGCTGAAGAAGGCTTTGGGAAAGATCTGAATGGGTAAGTGGCAGGTGAGCAGACGTGGAGATGGAAGGTTTTGTGCTGCCTCCAGCCCCAGTTGGGAGGTGATCCAGGGAGCACGAGAGGAATTGGGGACATTTTGATTCCAGGTTGGATTACCACCATTGAGGATCAGGCTAAGGATCTCAATCATCCACACCGTTCCTTGATGGAAGGAAAACAACAACCACAAGAACTTCAGAGCTAAGCACAATCACATCTCAGTTCAAGGTAAGTTGCAATGAGTTCAGCGGGGCTTATCTCCAAGCAAGTGGATATATGACTGTATTATTTATTATTTTTGTTTATTTAATATCTATACCATGCGACAGCCAAAGCTCTCTGGGCAGTTCACATTCCTATAATCAGGAATGGGATTGTCCAAAATTCTAACGCAAGCAACATCACTTTGAACTTTTGAATTTTGAAGATTCCCAAGCTTTATGTTTAGGAATTCAGCTTTTAGGGTTACAAGTTTAAAATCTTAAACTTTATAACTTAACATCATGATCTTAACTTTATATCTTAAGTATCCATTTGTCAAATCCAAATATTGTTATGCATTACCCCCTACCCTCCAAAAACAGACTAGCAACAAAGGAATGTTGAAGGCATGGTGAGTCAGATCAGAAGCACACAAAACCATCTACAAAATTAAGTTAGGAACATTTGGTCAAAGATTTCCCACAAATTTGTTTCAGTTCCATTTTATCTGAAAATTACACATTCACCAGGGCTTAGTAAGCTCCTTTGCTCAAGGCTGAATTTCATTTTGAGGAAGCTTGCAATATATTGCATGCCCTAGCAGATAGTAGCAGAAAGCTCATCACCAAAAACCAAACCTTTGGGGAAGCATTTCAACATTTTTCAACCTTTTTGAAAGGCACACTGGGGGGAGGGGGCTGAAAAAAGCCCAGGGAATGATCAAAGGGCAAGTGTTTTGGGTAAAAGGGAAAAGCAACCCAGAGGGTGAAACTGGGACCCCAGAGAGCTGGATTGCACCTCAGTAGTTTTGCTTGCCTACGCCAATGGGGCCTTAGCCTTGACTCTTTTCCCTGCAGACCTAAGTATATCTATAGGTGTCAATGTGAGTTCCCCTTCTCCTTAGCATTATCTGCCATGCAGGAAAAATAGTCAAGGTATCATGGATGGGAAGGGAAAGGTTAACCCTCTCCTACCTGGGCATTTTGCTCCTTCCCTTCCAATCTCTTCCAAGGAACAATTAAACTTAGCAAAAACCTCCCACCAATGGTCAGGTAAAGGCTGGGCTTTGAATCCTTTAAGGTCATAGCAGTGGCCTTGTTTGGTCCTCAGTCCCAAAATTCCCAATCCCAGACATATCCCCTGAGAAAGGGTATGTGAGAGTACATCCATAATGCACTGGGGAAAACAGCCATGTAGCATTTTGCATAGGACAGCAATGTTTTCTTATGTTTTCAAAGTAACAAGCAGAGCTGTGCAATCCAGAATTCCAACCTGTCCAAGTGCAGAGTACCACTGGAAACCCAGTTTCCCACCCCTATCCCTCATGGAGTTTTGTCTCCTACCAGACTTTGGGTAAGTGATGTTGAAGATATCATCATCCCGCACTTGAAACTCATTCTCAGCAAAGCAAAGGCTTTCTGCAGAATTAAATCCAGGGGGAAACTTTAACCCTTTATATTGGACGGCCATTCTCTGTGAAACAAAGACAGGGGCTCAAGATAGTGGAAAACATATTGGAGGCAGATCCAGTTTAGACCACTGGGTGTGCTCAGGAGTCAGAATTCCCCAACATGCTCTGGCCAAAGGAAATAACTGAAAATAAGAAGCTGGTGAGCCATAAAAAGATTTTGGGCTGGGCTTGCCACACTGGTCAGCAGTGCAACCAGTTGCCAAGAGAGGTTGTACACACTAGAAACATTCAAGGCCAAAGTGGAGCGCCTTCTGAGTGGGATGGTGTGAACGACACCCTGCACCAGCAGGGGGTTGGACCCGACAGCCTTCTTGGCCCTTCTGACCATTCCATTCCATTCCATTCCATTCCATTCTATGAATCTGTGGATGAAGTAACTAACAGTGTGCTCCTATGCCTGTTTAGACCAAAACAGGCCCTACAGCTCCCATCCTTCCCCACTCAGCATAGATTATGCCTTAAAAGACATGCTTCTGCAAACCTTCGCTGCAATAGGAGCTGAGTCTGTGTTTCATTTCTCTTTGACCTTGGACTGTTTACAGTCCCTCACTCACCTTCACAAACCACATGCACACTCACAGAGCTCTAACATAGATAACACCTCATGCAACCAATGAAGTGGACTTTAGTGGGCTAATTATTATTTCTAGTCTCTAAGGCAGAGGTCCCCAAGCTTTTTCGTCCTGTGGGTAGACTTGGGAATTTGAGAAACGGCTGCTGTGGGCATCACCAAAAAATGCCTAATCACCTCTTCAGCACCTACCTGTCACATCATTAATAAGAGAGTTAACAATACAGCTAATGCTTCTTTTAAGCATATGTTTGGCAATGTCCGGTGGTTGTTCCTTCTTGGAAGAAGGTGACTGGAACAGCCTTTAATATTCACTGGTATTCACAGTGTTTTACTTTATTTTTCTGTTTAATGGAAATTAACAAATGCTTAGTGTAAATCCACCCTTTCAACAGCTAAACAAAACAGAACTGCTAAATGGCTGATACTGCAATACTGGAAGAATTAAAAATGCATTAATGCAATGGTCCAAGGGCCTCACAATAGTATTTGAACAAGTGAATAAGGATGTTACTTTCAGATGGATACTTATTTGGATATTTGTTCTGCTTTTGTTAGAGCCTTTGTATAATTGCTAGAAAGTTGCATGATTTCATGTGTACTCATTGCCGTGAATATATACAAATCCATGTGCATGTATAAAAACAAAGATAAGAATCTTTAAATAAAAAAGTTTCCAGGTGCCTGCGGGTACCAATTTGGGGCTCCCTGACAGGCACCACGAGAGGTTCCTCTGGGCATCATGGTATCTGTAGGTGCTGCCTTTGAGACCCTTGCTCAAGACTCTGCTGCCTGCCATGTCAAGTGAAAAACAGTTCTGAAGACAAGCATCCTGGATACTTTGATGCATCAGAGCCCTAAACCTGTTGTGTGCCTAAGAATATAAAAAAAGCCATGTTAGCACATACCAGAGGTTATCTAACCCAGCATTCTGTTTCCATGCTGGGAGTTGTGGACTTTTTTCTATCAAAACATGCATGGGATTGTGCTTTTAATAATAATATGCATGCACATCTTTTGTGGCATATTTTTGTGACCACTTTCTATAGTTTGCACTTTTATGTATTCTAGTAACAAATACTGCTCCACCCTTTCCCTTATCTCTCCAGAAGTAAAAACAATAGAAAGCTTTTTTAATGAATAATGAAAATCAAGCAAGAAGCCTGGAAAAGCCAATGGCTTGTACAGCTGTGGTTTTCATTTCTTCTCACAGGTTATATTGAAATAAACAACAATCATTGGATCAAACCCACACTGCATGGAAGGGAAAAGAGCTGCCTGTACAGGGCTGAGGCATGCTGGTGTGTTGGCTTGGGTTTCATTTTTGCCTGCCTGCTTTTGCTGTAAGAAGATGCCTGATAATATCAAGTAAAGGTTCTGATTAAAGCATGCAGAGGTCTTCCATCTCATGTCTGGTCAGAGAAAACTTACTCTGCAACGGTTTGCTTGTGTCTCCTATGAATGAGGAGGGCTGTACACATCCAGTGCACAAATCATCAAGCGGGGCTTTTTACTTGTGAAGGCCCCGAATCACACAGGTGCTCTGCACTATTCAGGAAAGATGTGAGAGTGCAGTGGTGTGCAAAAAATGCAAGGGCTGTCTGTGAGCTGGCCTATGCTCACGAGTGGCATGAGACCACCATGATCTCCAAAGGATGGGTGAGCATGATGTCACACCCCTGCGCATCACATGCATTCCCTCCCTGCAAAGCTGCCCGCTCACCTGTGAAGAAGACACTTTTCTGGGAAGTGCAAGGAGCAGGACGAGTCACAGACGAAGCAGCACAATCACAAAGATCAGTGGGGAATTTTGTTGGTGCGCCAACGAAAGGGGGCAGGATGGACTAACCCACCTGCACAGCCCAGCCCTAAAGGAGGCTTGATGTGTTGCTCTCCTATTAGGGAATTGAGAGGAGGGTTTTGCAATTTCACAAGTGCCTGCCAGGAGCAGCAGCCCACAGGCAAATCATTAACAGGATGCTGTGTTGCTGGCCTTGGTTTTAAAAGAACAGGAGGGGCAGCTTTCCTATGAGCTCCAGAAAGAAAGGGGCTCAGCCCCAGCAGCAAAACATCAGCACACAAGTGAGGGAAGCAATTGTGCGAGGGGAACAAGTGCTATTCAACATTCTCTTTATTTATATATTAAATAACCCCAGCAAAGCATCTGAAACCAGGTCAAGCTAAAATGAGCCCACCAAAGGAGGCTAAATTGCAGTAGGCTAATTTACAGTTAACTGCCAACCTTGCAGTTTGAAAGCATGCAAATGCAAGTAGATAAAAAGGTACCACTTCGGTGGGAAGGTATCAGTGTTGCCGGCCACATGACCAGGGAGACTGTCTGCGGACAAATGCTGGCTCCCTCGGCTAGGAAACGGAGATGAGCACTGCCCCCTAGAGTCAGGCATGACTGGACTTAATGTCAAGGGGAAACCTTTACCTTTACCTTTAATTTACAGTTAGAAGCTAACGTGGTGATGCAGATGATGGAGGGGAATCTAGCAGGAACTTAATATTACTATTTCCTCTGTTTTTATGTGGGTCAATACTTGACGGTTTCTTGAGGGCTAACAGCTCTTATTGTGCAGAATAGGAGGCTTGCGGGTGGGCAGATTGGAGAGGGGGATGTGTAATTCTGAGTAATAGGAAAACATTATCTTAAAAAGGATCCATCCCTTGGAAGATGAGTGACTATCTTCCCTCACCAAGGATGTACCTCCAGGGTGAAGGGGCCGTGATAGTGGGAAATTCAATTATTCAACATATAGATAGCTGGGTTTGTGATGTCTGTGTATACCACATGGTAAATTGCCTCTCTTGCACAAAGGTTGCAGATAACATGCAATGTCTAGACAGCTTTGCAGATAGGCCTGGGATGGAGTCAGTATTCACAGTCTGTATTGCTACCAATGACACGGGGAAATATAGTCATGAGGCCTTGGATGCTAAATTTAGGTTGCTAGATAGAAGGTTGAAAGCCCAAGCAGTTTTCTCTGAAATGCTGCCTGTCCCGTGTAATAAGGCAGATTCCATGTGGAAAAGGCAAACTCTAGGTTAGGCCTTATATGGGAAAGGAAACTGGAAAGAAGAGTGTGAGCCTCATACTGCTATTAAACCAAACTGTGGTGCATCTGTTGTTAGAATACTGTACACAGCTCTGGTCCGAAAAGGGCAAATGCCATGGTCAAGGGGGTGAAGACACCCCCTAAGAGGAGTGGCTACCACAACTGGGATTGTTTGGCTTGGTTAAAAGGTGAGTAAGGGGAGACAAGACAGAAGCGATTAAAATTATGCATGCTGTGGAGAAAGTAGAGAGGGAGACATTACTCTCTCTCCCCCGTGAAACTAGAACCCAGGGTCATCGCATCAAGCTAACTGGTGGGGGATTCTGAACAGATAAAAGGAAGTACTTCTTTGCATAGCGCCTAAAGTGTGGACTTCAGTGCCATAAGAAGCAGTGATGGCCACTAACCTGAATGGCCTTGAGAGGGGAGTGGGGTAATGCCCAGAGGAGAAGGCAATCCTGTGCCAGCCCACCCCTTAAGATCTGGATCAGAGGTCCTTCTTAAGGAGCCCTCTTTGAAAGAGCTAGGAGAGTGGCTTCCTGGAGAAGGGCTTTCTCTGTGGTGGCAGAACATGCTCCTGGCTGTGGAACATGCGGAACATGTTGGCTGAGGCTCCTGGCTGCGGAACATGCTCCTCAGAGAGGTGTGCCTGGTGCCGACACTATTCTTTCTGGCACCAGACCAAAACCTTTTTATCTTCCCATTGTTTTAACATGTATTTTTTATTTTAGTGGGATTTTATCATAGATATTATGCTATGCCTTTGCTGTCGGACTGTCCTGACACTTTTATGTATAGGATGGGGTACAAAAGTTTTAAATTAATAAATATCCGCGGTTACTAGCCTTGTTGTCTCTGTGCTACCTGCTTTACCAGAGGCAGTTCTGAAACAGCTGTTGCTGGGGAGCAAGGGTGGGACACAGTTCGTTAGCCACTGTGTGGAGAGACTGCTGGACTGCTGTGGTCCAGCAGGGCTCTTCTGATGTTCTTATGCTCTTAAGATGTGTGTGGGGGTGGATATAACATGAACCAGATGTCATGAACCTCATGTGTGGGCAGGCTGTGTTATTGTATTGTTTTGCCCCTACATTCCATGGCTAGGACTGTTGCTATTGCTAACATTGTCCCCCCACATCCCCTCCTCAGGCTTCTGTAGCCACTCATTTGATTTAAAAGATGCGTGTAAGGGGTTTTATTGCATCGATCTCTGCAAATTCACTGGAGCTGGCCCTGGATGCAGGAATGCGGAGGAAGACTGCTGCTGGGTGGAAGTGGAGCTGCATTGCTGGGGAGTGCTGGACTTAACCTTGTAGGACTCTCACTTTTCTTCTACTTAAGTTGCATGTGTATGTTTGTAAAGTACACAAATATTGCAAACACATCCCCATACTCTACGGGATGGGAGTAGAACCTCTGGCTCTTTTGGAGTGCTAATCTGGGCTGTTGGGGTTCCTCAAATGACCAACCCTCTTTCTGCTGGCTCCATTCCTTGTCCCCACCCTGGTTGGGGTATTTTCCTGGCTTTTGTGTAGTTTTCGCCCCATATGAAAAGGTTGCGATGCCTCTCCTAAGGCTTATGCAAGGGCAGCAAGAGCTTTGAACTGAAATACCCTGGAATTGTGCTTCTACCTCTTTGACTTTTGTCCCATGCAGCGCTGGAATGCAGCCTGGCAAAGCATCTTTGAAATGAGCTGTGGCCCTTGGGTGGAAAGAGGCTCTGAGCCCTGCTCCAAGGCAGCCTTCCCCAATCTACTGCCCTGCAGACAGGTAGGCCAACAACCAGCATCAACCATGGGAGCTGCATCCAACATATCTGGAGGGCACTGCAGGGGAAAGGTGCTCTAAGAACTGTCTCATCCAAACAGCCATAAAGCCAGCAGCTATGTCCAAGGCACTTTTCAGGGACGTGCAGTGCAAGCAACCACCAATGTCAAAAACTTACTTATTTTCTCAATAGATTTCTCATATGGATCCCAACTTCACTCAAGTTGAACTATCCAAATAAGTAATTAATTCGCAAACTAGATCTGTGGTTATGCAAGGCATAGCCTTAAAAATAGCTTCTCCTCCAGCAAACAAGTATGTAGTTTTAAAAAGTACTTATTCCAACTTGGCTGTGAAATGCTATCCCTTTGGGAATTAGTAACCAAGTGCATAAAAGAGACAAACAAGATTAAGCTGTTACATGTTATAAAGAGGTTTCCCTTGAGGATGTAATGTTTTTTCCAAAGAACTCATAAAAGGGCAAGATGCTTGCCTGCTGTGTATGAAGCAGAATATCAATGGAGAAAAATCTGGTTTGAGATGTCAGTGACACAGCCTCCCTGGGGAAAAATATTGTGTATTATATAAAATTGGACTGTTTATTACACAATTAGGAATGGATTCCATTATACTTGATGCTTAGTATTTGGAATAACTGAACTCTATTTTTATAAAACTTCTGTAATCCTCTATTTAATTCTATTTTGTCACTTAATCTTTGTTAAATGTTTCATTAGCATTATTTTGCTGTATTTTTATGTTACTTCATTATATGCCCTTAATTTTTTTGTAAAGTCCAATGAGCTAAAGACAACTGCTTGACACATGTGTTGCTTCTACCTATTACAGGTAAATTGGCTTCTGGTATGACTGGGGACATACAGTCTAGATCGAGGGATGCCCCCAGCTTTCCACAGGAAGTGGAAGTCATTCTGTGACAACGGCTTGCACGATCACCAGGGAAAAGAAAGCCTGCTGGCCTCTTTTCCTTGCCAGTGTGATTTGCCCTGTCACCCTTGCAGCACACCAGCTGCTGTGTCATCGAAACCATGGCTTGTCATAAGGTTCTGGGGTGATTTGGAAGCCGTGCCACTTGGCTTGGACAACATGGCAATCCCTGCGCTGCAAGGATCAATAGGCAAATTGTCCAAGGATCATGTGAATCTGGGCAGTGTGTGTACTAAGAGGAGAAAGTCCCAGAGGCCTCGTGGTATTTTCATGCCTTGTGAGAATTGCAGCATTTTAATCAACTCAGGCCAGTTAGTTCCTTATTCTCTCTCTCTCTCTCTCTCTCTCTCTCTCTCTCTCTCTCTCTCTCTCTCTCTCTCTCTCTCTCT